GCTACCCCGGGGGCGGGGCTGGGCGGGCCTGGGCGGGGCTAGGATGGGATAGGGACGGACTAGGATGGGATAGGGATGGACTAGGATGGGGATAGGGATGGGATGGGATGGAGGGTGAGGGTATGGCTCCCCACAGATGGGCATTGTGGCCCCCTGCTTCATGGCCACCCTCAAGCCCTGGCCAGGGCTGGCCCTCGATGAGAGTTCTTTGGCTGTTCCCATTGCTTCTCTCATTGCTCAAATCAGTGAAAACTTCCCAAATGGGACCTGGTCACTGCAGCACTACCCAAGGGCTCGAGGCAGCCCCCAGAATTGCCTCAAGAGCTGGGAAACAGAGCGAGGAACCATGGCCTTGGGGTCCCTTTGGCTGCCACTGGCCGGGAATGGCGGAGGGGGGAGGAGGCAGCCGGATGGGTCTGTCCCTCTGCCCTTGGGCAGCATCGGTGTCACTTGTGTCACTTCTCAGGAGGGTGGGGGTGTGGGTCTGGCCTCTTCCTGGAAACCTGGCACGGAAGGTTCCCAGCAGTGCCTGTGCTTGCAGACATTAATATATACTTTTCCCTTCTGCCTAATTTGAGTTTTCCTTGTAGCAAGTTAGCCCTGTGCACCTGGGCATGGAGAGCATTACGTTCCTCTTCCTCGCAGCTGACATTTACATGTTGGATTATTGCTATAACTCTTCTCAGCCACCTCCTCTTTAAACAACCCTAGCTCCTTCTTCCTTGTAGATCACGTTTTCTTAATCCTTCCTCATTTTTATCTGTTCTGTGGACTGTTACCGTCTGCTTCACAACTTCTTTCCATGCAACACTCAGCACAGGGCACCGTGCTCCACCTAAGTGGAAAAAAATGATTTGGGGTGTTTTATAGGTCATGCTTTTGTTTGCATAATGTGATGTTTGCCTTTTTTCAGAGCAAAATAATTTGCACAGGGATGACACAAAACATGCATGTGTTTTTAGCACTGATATAAAAATTGTAGGGATGAGGCAAGGCTCTTTCCTTCTTTCATTTGCATCTATTTATTTATTTACACTTTTAAGGGGTTGTCTTTGTTTTGAATCATGTCTTTGCTTTTGTATTTTAATTGACCAGTTACTGTTGTGATTGATATCTGTTCTTTAGGCAATTTCCTTTTTAAAATAGTTATTATGATACTCCGTAGGAGATTATATGCAAAACGGGTTTAATTTATGAACTAATTTGTAATGATTACTTTGAACAATAGAGGGCATCAGTTAACTAAGCTTCCGTGTTTAGGAAGCTTTAGAGGAATTCTCTCCATGAGATAGAAACTGAACGTCCTTAAGAAAATGGACAAAACCCAGCTTTTTCATTGGTTCTGGCTTTATATATTATAGTAGAATATTGATTAATATACGTCAGGTTGCCAAACTAGAGAAGTAGTGAATGTTTTATGCCTCTAATCAAATTTTCCTTTGTTTTCCATTATGAAGATATAAATCTCTGAGAAGGGTGTTCTGTAAAAGCAGATTTTTTTAATAGATGCTGAACTAAACCTATAAACAGTGACTAGATTAGATGCGTCTTCATTCTTCCCTCGAGACCCAGGTTTGGTGAGCTATTCTGCATGAAAGGGCAGCCCAGGGAGCACTAGTGCACCCTATTCCTCTGCTATGGACAGTACAAAGAGCAAGGCTGACATTTGTGGAAGCACCAAAAGCTGATTGGGCAGTAAAAGCGTATGTGGCAGTCTGCCTCTCCAGTCCTCACCTCCTAAAATGATGAGTCATTTTCCAAAGTAATCATCCTGCTTTGGAAAAGGTACCTTTGGAGTTGTGTGTTGCATTTTATAGCTTTTAGATGACACTTAGCAGCCTTCTCCTATAAACAGAATTATCATGAATGGACTTTATTGCCTTCTTTATTTTTATTTTTAATTGAAAATTGGATGTAATACTCCATATAACAACTGGAGTTCATCTTGCTAGGTCTCAGAAGAACCAAATAATAAAATAAGAGTCTCAGAGTTGCCATGGAGATAAGGAGAGGGTAGCACTGAGGTATGGAGCGTGCCTTGCTTCCCCTCTGTCTTGTGGGAAGAAATCACAGTTAATGTAGATTAGTATAGTTATATCCTTTCACATCCTGCCTTTAGTCTGTGTTCCTGTGGGAAGTGTGCTGGGTGACAAGACCAAACAGCTTAGATTCAATTCAAACTGCTTGTCATGTCCATCTTCCAGATGTAATTGTCTCTGTGCCACACACAAACGTACATCTGGTTTGCAGGTCAGTCACTGGTTCACGTTATCAGCAATGGGTAGCTTTTCTTGTGTTGATTAATCTAGACCCCTCATTTTATTTTCTCTTCTACATTTCTTCCATTTCGTTTCTCTGAATCTTCCAGTCCTGCTCTCTGCGGGAAATAGGTATAGGATTGTTTCTTTTCTGGTGCTTGGGATATTTGGGAATTGCACAAGTTCATGTCTCATGGGGTAAAGTGTTCATAAATAGGAGTCAGTTTGATACCTCTTGATCTACGTGTCTCTGTAGCCTTAAATATATTTTAATTTCTTTAACATATTTCTGGAAGACAGTTTTTTCCTCTCCTGGACTCATTCCTACAGTAATTGGTCATAACTTCTTAAAAATCAAGAACAAGGAAGAAGTAGCAAGTAGGGGAATGAATCACAAGACTAATAAACAAACAAACAGCCCGAAACAACAACAACAACAACAACAAAGAGGGTAAAACTCCTCAATGCTGCTTTTCTGCCTGCTTCCTTTTGGGACTGATTTGAAGATCAGAGAGACCTGTTTCCAGCTCACTACTAACAGTGGGGAACTCCAGTGTCTCTAAGATGGGAATCTTCCACAAAGCTATACATGGAGCTCAGAAAATTTTGTGTGATGATATTATTAGTAATTAATAAAAAAAAATGATACAAATCCTACATTGTTGGATCCTGACACACAGACAGTGCATAAATCCACCTGCACCAATTGGGATTGTGCTTTGCCATGCCAGAGCTTGAGTTTCTACGTATGGAGTATGAGGGGGTCACTGTGGGACTCTCAGTTCAGGTAAGTTGCGAGGAGTATAACAATAACGATAACAATGGCTGATTTTCTTCTCAGCTGGACAGACTCTCTAGTACCCAGTGATTCCATAGACTCTCCCCTTCTGCTCTCCCATGAAAGTTACTTGTCAGCAATGCTTGCTGCACTCTGAGAGTTATGAGTTATATTCTAGCAAACACTCAGCAGATCTAACTTTTTATTTTCCCCACTGTCCTTGAGTGAGTTTTGCATATCCTGGATATCTCCTCAGTCACAAAACCCCAACAACGGAGCAAAGGGAGGAGGGATGAATGTTACCTGCTAGCCCCACAAAGAGGGAGGAGCTCTATTTTTCAAGCATCAGCAGAGTTATAAGGAAGGTGTGTGCTTAGAGCACTTCCTTAATGTGGAAGTTCAAGCACACAACGCTGAACATCGGTCCCAAAGGTGCTCTAGAAAGTCTCCAGAAGGTCATTTCATGGAGGCCAATAGCCATCATGCACAGCTTAACAAGGGAGAGGAGAATGAGATGGTAAGTTGTTTTTTCTCTGCCTAGGTCTTTCTGAATTCGAGGCAGCAGATGGCATGTGTTCTGCAATAAAATGCGCAGGTGAGGTTGTTCCTGTAGCAGTAAAGTACAGTTAGAATGGATTATATTTTTTATTCAAAAAAAAAAAAAACAGAAGTTGTATATGTCTGCTGCATTTAATTGGTTATACCCTCCAACAGGGGATGCCTCAGGAAAGTCTTGGAAGGAAATGATAGATTTTTGATGTAGCATTACAAATCTTGGTGGAGCTGGTCCAGCTTCAGCTAGAGGATGGGCTACAGCACTGTTTCTAACCATTTGAAAGCTGAGTCTCTCTAGGGTCAGCTCTAATTGGATGAGAACCGGGGATGTTGACTTTTTCTGGAATATAAAAAAAAACTTGTTATGTTTGCACGGATTATTAGCAAATGCAGTCTGTAGTCGGAGTCATTTTGTAGTACTGACAACACTTTTCCAATCTAAGCGCCTGTATAAAGCTGAATTTCTAAGCACAGAGCTACTGTATTTCTTTCCAGAGTTTCCCAGGGAGGAATACATTTATATGCATTACGTGGCATTTGGAAATAGTCCCATATTTCGAGGAAGCATCTGATCTGCTCCATGGTGCTGCTCTTAAATAGGAAGTCTGTTCTTGGGATTCCCAAATGTGTGAAAATCACAAATGATTGAAAAAAAAAAAAGTAGAGTGGTAGATGATACTTCAAACCACAGTAATCTTTTGTGCTAGATTTGGCAGGTATGTATATGCCTGTTTGTGTTACATGTAAGAGAGAGAGAAAGAAGAAAAACTTACGTGTATGAAAGAGATGAAGAGATCTACGTGGTTGTCTGAGGCAATGTATGAGAATGAGGAAGAAAGCAATGTGTAAAGAGAGAGAACAGCTAGTTACGTGCTTGTATGAGAAAGAAAGCAATATGTAGGTGAGAGAAGGTATGAAGAGACAAGTAAGGCTGTGTTTAAATAGAGGACAGAAAGACAGTGCGTATGGGTAAAGAGCATGGATATAATTTCTTTGCTAAAATCACGTCTTTTAGACTATTGTCAGCTTCAGAAGGTAACACTGGCAAATAATTTCTCAGTGACATTGCAATAGCTTTTTAAAGCTATTACAGCATTTTTCTACATTATACTTAACACACCTTTTAATCTAGCTGCACCAAATTATCGACATGTAATTCTTGAGTCTTCAGAAAGATCATATCGCTTCATGTAATAATATAATGGCTGACATTGCACAGATGCCTGTTCTTACAAAGGAAAATAGTTCATGAATTTTGAAAGCGTGCAAGCAATTCACTTGGATTCTGGACAAGCACTGCCTTCTTTAGTAGAACTACTAATTTTTACTGCTCCATTTTACTGGAGACATTTGGGGAACTCTAATGAGCAGAAATTCTTCTAGGTGTTGTCCAGTGTTGTCCCATTTCTTGCTAAAGCTGAGACCTGTATTTAAGAGCAATCATTCTGACACAAGAAATGTGTCCTTGTGCACATCTTTGGGACTGCTCATATTGGTGAAGCATGCTTGCTTGAATGAGAGCTGCAGGAATGGATGCCTCTCCAGAAATTCATTCTCCTAGTACCCAACAGAGGCTGAGCAACTTATATTCAGAGCATGAGGTAATATCCCCATTTGTAATCCTGAAGAGATTTCAATAACATGAGAAGGCACTCTCTACACAGTGGCTTGCTTATGTTAGAAAGGATGGGACAGCCACAGTTAGCCAGCTGGTAAACCCCAATCTGCTCTTGCACATTTGAAACTCTGCTTCCTTTAGTATGCCAAAATTGTGAGGGAAATATAGTTCAGGAATTTTACATACTTAGAGCTTGAAAAATTCAAATCTTAAGATAGAAACTGAAATGCACAATCTTGCTTCTGCTGCAGCAACTATGAATGTTGCTACTGGCTTCAGAGGGAATGGAAACAAGCCTGTAATGAAACAGATTCCAGCTGCTAAGAATGAGATGCAGTTATTAAATTCTTTGTGAATCTTAACCACTCTTTCTAGTCTAATCCTATTATCTGTTGTTATAGCAACAGGTTACTCATAATACGGTACCTGATGATTGGATTGCCAGAAGTGTAATATTTTTCCAGGCACTATTTAGACTCCTTGCCCCTTGGTAGCTCTATGACATTTTTTTTTCACCAAGGAAAAGTGTGCCTAAACTTTGCAATTTTTGCAGGCAAACTTGTTTGTAAATTTTGCATTTAACTTCTGACAAGTGGATGACCTGAAAGTTCCATGCAATTTTTCTTTCAACCGCAAGTAACAAGGACATGCTGGCCATAAGAGTGAAAAGCTCTTTGGCACTGCTTTTGGATGCTTGTACATTCAAATACAGTTAAGAGGCTTTTCAATAAGCCCCTCTTCTGCCAAATGAACAGGTATGGCAGCTTTTTCTGTCCAACAACCCATGGCCAAAGAATCCCAGGAATACTGATATGTGTTTGATTTTATGAAGAAGCTTCTTGAGATTTATGGCACCGGAATGTTTTTTGAGGGAAGTTGTTCTGAAAAAACAAAGGCCTGGAAACATATGCAACTGTAAACAGAGCCCACATACATATTTTGGTGCATAAATGTATGGTTTCCTAGACAGAGTCTGTTCTGGCTCTGTGCTTCTTTTTAGCTTGTTGTTTTGTTTGCATGCTTTTCTATGGATGCTTTGTGGTGCACCAGGATGCAGGTTTGTTTTGCTGCATATTTTTGTTGCAGCCCTTTCAGGGGCAATAAAAAATTTGCATAAAGCAGGAAGCTTCATTTCAAGAAGAGCAAAAATTGGACTTACGTGTTGCATCACATGACTAATCCCAACATTGCATTATGAATGCCATTATCTCCCCAAGCACACCTCTTTGGTGGGTGGACCTCTTGGATATGTTGTCATGTCAAGCTTGGGTTATTGTTCAGCATCTCAGTGTACTTAGAGCAGGGAAGAACACTGCAAGATGAAGATGATTGTAAACGATGACAATAACATGCTGATGCCCACCCTCCCCTTTATTAATTATGTTAGCATATACATATAATGATTAACATATTATTAACAATAAACCTTATTGACTTATCAGACTTTGAGTGTAAGATACAAAAGCTAGAAATTACAAGAATGATTCACTCATGGCAGCAAGGTGAACATAGCAGCAATCTCATCCTTCCCCACCCTGATATTCCTGCCCATCCCTATTTGAGAAGATTATTCCAGTTATTCCAGGTTCAGCCATTTACTGGAGGAAGTCCAACAGTACGTTCTTTTGACAATTTTTCTCTTAAACTTCTCTGTCTCCTCATGAACTTCTTTGCCATGCTGACAAAACATAATGCTTAGATCTGGGCACCTGGATCTTGCTAGTAAGCCATTGCTGCAAACAATGTTAGCATCATTGTATAGTCTAACATGTGTGCTGCTGCTGACACCAGTTTTGTAACCTTTCTGTTAAGAACCTGACAGATGTGAGTAGAGTTCCCTTTCCCTTTCTGTGGGAGGATGTGAATACTAATAGCATGTGACTGATACACTAACAACCTATTAACAACTTTGCCAACCTGCTTTCAATATGAGCTTGACTTTATTTGCTGCAGGGTTGCCCTGTATCTTATTCTTATGGGCTGGTCAGAGACTATAGGAACTTTGAAAATGTTGAGCATGTGCATCTCAAGGTGATATTAACAGGTCCCATGCAATGCAGACTTCTTCCACACTTAGTTTGCAGTACTTTTTGTCACAGTTACCCATTTCCTTCCTTTAGAAACCGTATGGACACCACTTATGATGCCTTTTTGGAAGATGAGTAGATAGGCCATGGCAGTGAGATGAACTACTGGGTAGGGCCTGCATGTTGCATGCCAAGCAGAGGCACCAACACAGAACCAGGAGTTATGCATTACTCATCCTTCCAATAACATCGCCTTTTCTTATCCTCTTATGAATGGATTTTGCAATCTCTGTGGCTGAAGATATCTGATCTTCAGAAGTGGATTGCACAATAGCTGCAGGTATACTAGGAAGAAAGAGATTGAGGAATCTTAACCCTTATGTTAGCTTACTGCCCTAGTCACTTGATGTAATTGCAGCCATGCAATCTCCCATTTCAGATCAGAGCTGGATCAGCTCTATACATTCACTATATGCTACACTCTGCTGGTGCTACTGACAGGGAATTTGGCAGTGGTTCCAAGAACTGACATCTCTCAAACTGTAATGCTGACAGTCATCCCTTTGAAGTTTTGGGCAAGTCACCTTGCCTCGGTGTAACAATTTCCCCACCTTTAAAAATGGAATAATAATACCTACTCACATGGCTTCAGTGAGCTGGCTTCTTTCAGCCCTCTGAACATGTAAAGCATTCTGCAAGTGTTCATTATGACTAACAGTTATTATTTTTATTATTATTATTATTATTTTGGGATGTTAGAACAGCAGCACATTGGCAAGACCCAAAAGCCCCACACTGGAGCTGTCATGAAAGGTGGTAACTACCCTACAAGGTTATGTCTGTGCCAAGCTATTTCAAGCAGCTCCGTCTCATTCAGGGATCCAGTGTGATTCAGAACCATGCAGAGACATATCTGACTCTCTAAAGAAGTGTACTATTAGAAAGTGGATTAAAGAAGTGGATTATTAGAATGTATGACTTTTTTTCCTTGTTTTTGCTCTACAGGAGATATTCGGCTATAAAAGCCAGGGCAGCCGGAGAGCCTTGTGCATTGCTGGATACATCTTGTCCTGTGGGGCTCTGCTGCTGCTGTTTTACTGGAAGCCAGAATGGGATGTGTGGGCAAACTGCATCCCCTGCAGCTTGGAAGAAGCAGATGTTGTACTGCTTAGAACAACAGTAAGTGCCTATTTTAATCTGTAAACTAGTCCCTAGTATGCAGTTAATTGCAAGGTGAGGGAATCCAGTTATCTGAAATCTCTCACATTGCTGATGTCTTGCAATAATATCTTGCATTTGGCATCATTCATCTAAAGAACACTCGAGTATTCCACAAATACCAATTATATACAAGAAGGTGATGGGAATGGAGGGCAACAGCTCATCTAGCAAGAGACTGAAAGAAATCGGTGTGAAAGAACCTGTAGTATCTGTGGTTTCATAGCTATGTTGTTTGCTGTCTTCCTTCCTCCTCCCTTCTGCCATTCCTGTGTTCCCCACATTGCAGACCTCTGCTCCAGATTCTAAACTATCTCTTTACTTGGTCTTCTCTAGAAGGTCCCTTTTTATTTCCACAACTGGGTGTCTTGGTGGACCTGCCTCTGTCTGCCCAAATTTATGCGTGGAATTTAGAGGACACGTTGCTGCTTTGTTCAACGTCTCCAAATTTCCAAGTCTGCTACCCCTTTCTCAGCCATGTCTAGGTTCATCACTGTCTCCACAGTGCTGCTGACTGATGCATTTCAGTGTTCCTAGGAAAGGATTACCTCAGTGTTTCATAGCATATTTCTTGGATATGAGAAAAGCTTTACTGGGCTGGGCCAAAGATTTGTCTAGCTCAGCGTTTTTAGGGTTTTTTTTTTTTTTGTAGTAGTAGTAGTTTCTTAGTAGACATTTCTATCCACTGAGGACTGGACTGAAACTCTGCAACCTACACAAAGCCTTGTTTCATTTCATTCAATCTATGGAAAAAAGGAAAAAAAAAAAAAAAAAAAGGTAACTGAAACTTCACTCAGAAGCCAAGCAGAACCTGCATGCTTCGGGAACTGGGAAGGTTGTTTTAATTACAAAAGTTTGATTTGTTCTGCTTTTATGATTTTAAAACAACAGCATGTGAAATTGCAAAATTACTAAGTTGGTATTATTGTATTTGAGTTGTCTTTTTCAAGTGAGCACAACAGCATGTAATAAGAAGCTTTCATTTTGAAAATCATGAGCTGTCCTGTTAAATGTTCTGTATTGAAGAAACATGTATTCTAATAGGCCTGGGTAGAGGTCTTTGAAAAATATATCGTATTAGGTCTAATCTGCTTTTTTAATATTCAGTTCAGTTTTCATTTTTAATTACATATTCTTGTGTATTATTTTAAATGGATTAGCCATGCCAAATACTTTTCAAGTAAATTACTTTTTATATGAATCTTTATGTAACTGAAGAAGAATTGAATTAGATCTTACATTCGTGTTATCAGGAAATTCTCTGAAAGTAAGTTGTGGATATCTGACAATTTCAGATTTCCTTCTTGGGTTCTCTGTGTGAAAATGAGTTTTTTACCTACTATTTTTTTTTTCTAATTATGTCAGTTCTAAAATGTGATAGCTTCCACTGATGAAGACACAAGTAACTCCATTAACTTGATCCTTGGCTTTTTTCTCCTCTTCATGTAACTTCATTCATAATTTATCATCATCTCTGCAATGGCAATTTAAGAGCCTATTAACACACTTTTGTTATTGAAGTTTGAGTCACTTGAGCTCAAATTACAAGCACCTGTGTCATACAGTGCTTCCCATCTCAATCTGAATCTCAATGTCTACTAAGTCTGCTATTTAAACATAAATATCAGAACATAAATGTTATTGTACTCAAAATATGGGTTTAAGAGGAAAAGTGCACAAGTAAGTAAGCTATGTAAACAGTCTTAAAACCATTTTTGAATCTTCAAGTTAATCAAAGGGACACTCCTTTAGTACAGAATAATGATGTTTGCAGAACCTCACCAATGGGGAGGCTTTTATTCTCCCCATAATTAAAAACTTATGTCTGACTCTAATGTCTAAAGCAGTCCTCCTCATTCCTGATGGATGGCAAAGATTTTTTTGTCTAGTATCAGCAGTCACCACAAGACATCTCCTCTGTCCATCTCTTCTGTTACCTTCTCAGAAGTTGGTCTTTGGAGACAATTATCCTTTTACTGGAATGCTGGGCACTGAGAGAATGGTTTGTATCCTGGTTTTAAAAACTGCCATACTCTCAAGAACAGAACACCAGTGTCTATTCTACCCTCTACACAATCCAGATTAAAATAACCCATTGTGGACAATGTGATTAAAAAAGTTTTATAGAATGTTTTTGAGAAGCTGAGAAAAGATCTGTTCTTCTCCACCTTCTCCTCTTCTTTTTCCTCTTCTGTGACATATTTTGTCAAAGCAAGGATAGGCAGTTCTAATGCAAATGATAAGTCTGCATGTTTGTCTTCAAAGAGAAGAACCTTGATTTGAAGGTAATTCATTCCTTTTTATAACCTGATCATCCTTGGGTTCTGTTAATGCTTGAATATAACAGGTTTCTAGACTAGTAATCTCAGTCTTTGTGTTCATGTAGCACAAATGACAATCTGGGTAGAGCTTTCTCCTGTCTGATAATAGGCAGAAAATATCAACATTTGCCCTATAGATATGTTGCTAAGTTATTTTAAGGTGACCATCTTTTTTTCCACATGTGAAGGTGACAATTTCTCACACTGAATATGATGTATTGCTTAAATTAGCCCCTTAGCTGGTTTCTGCGCCCGTGGTTCCGTGTTCCTGACTGAGACTTAAAGTGATAGTATTTGTTACAGTAGCTGCCCTATTCATGAGGACTGCATTAACAATACTATTTGTGTTGGGCATTTACAATGTTGAACATATAAAAATATGTTGAATATATAAAAAACATAAGATTACGAACTCACTTTAGTGGCAAAGGCTTATCTAGGGTTACTGGAAGCAAGCCATGGTGCTAACTCACTAGTTGCAGTAAGCAGTTAAAGAATGACAGAGAAGGTATTGATATTAAACCACATTCATTCTGCGGTGCAGAGTTATGTGCTTTTGACCCTCCCGTTACAGTACAGTCACTGCATCTCGGACTGTCCCATACTGTTTGCCTGTCCCACAGCATGACCTGGCTGATGACATTCTACCCTTATCAGTCAGGCACCAGACCTGTACTGTGGGGATTGCGCTGCATAACTCACATTTTGACAGTACCACACCTCTGCTCCTACTCTGCTGATTTCACCAGGACGTTCTGACCTCTGCAAATGGTGTATCAGTCGCAGGTGTGGGGAAGCCCATGTTGGTTAGCACTTTATCAAAGTTAAAGCAGTGCTCTAGAAGGGCGTACAGTAATCATTTACTGTGAGGTAGCAGTGAGTTTGGTCTGCTTGCATGGGAAATTCTGACAATTCTTTTCTATATTTGTTTAGGATGAATACCGGAATTATTCTCGTAAGAAAGTGACTTGGATCTCTGTGTCTGCAATTATAAAAAATAGACCAGATTATCCAGCCATTGTTGGGGAAGATTCAATCTTCAATGAAGCCATAATGAAGCCAAGTTTACAAGTAAGCAGATTTATCCTAGCAGTGTCTGGGACATGATAGCAAGTCTCAGCTATGCTTTATATGGTAGAAGTGGACTGTGAAACAACAAAACAAGCTAAGATACCCCTGTCGAATACAGTGAGCTGTGGCAAAATAAGCTAGAGATTTCATCAAACTGTACTCTTTCAAATCCTCTCTCTCACTGCAAGGGAAAAAAAAATCATCACTTCTTGACAGAAGACCTACATTATAAACGGGAGAGATCTAAGTCACTGTAATGTGCCTGGAATGAAGAATCTGAGCTCTGAAACAAAACCTCATTTCTGACACGGGGATCAAGGAACGTAGGGGTACTTGTATGTTGAAAGGGAAGCTGTGAGGAGCTGTACATCATAGCTTCAACAGCAACATGAAAACACAGAAGAGTGCAGCTTTGAGCTTATTTCATCTAGGCTGCTGATAGAGAGGAAACAGAGCAGCCAAGCACCTAGGCAGAGCTGCATCAGCATCTTTAGAGATGCTTCATCAGGAGTCTCTGAAGCACATTTTGTTCTCTTGTTTTTTATGCACTACTTTGTGCTTTAAAGTACCATTGCTGGAGTAAGGGCCTGTGCTGCTGATTGCTCCTGCAAAACATGTATTCTGGTCTTTGCCATTTCCACATTTGGAGAGCCCAGCATGGCACTGAGGAGAAGGCAGGGGATTAATTGATCCAAGAAGTTCACAAATACCCTGATGAACTGAGTAGATACAATTATTCCCATTTTAGAAAAAGTACCAGACAGAGCAGGTATATCTCTTGCTTAGCATTACTTCAGGTTCATGAAATCTATGTGTGTGCAACAGGAATGCAGCGGCAGATTTCCTCATTTCTACCTCTTGGTTATAGACACTAGATCACTACACTGGAAGTCTATAAAATAGTTTTATATCACTCCACAAAGTAGATTTCTGACTTGTTAGCATATATTTTTGAACCTATGGCATTTTTTAGGAGAAGTTTTCACTATAAACCTAACTTAAGCTAAGAAGAGTTGTTGTTGCTATTTTGTGTGGGCACATAATAAGGTGCACAAGAAAGTTTAGTGCCAGGTAGTTTAATCAACTGGCACAATATGAAAGTGAAGATTGATTTCCAACATTCTTAGAGGGTTGAATTAGTAACATATAAAGCCCAGTATAGCCCTCAGATAACAGGGCCTTTGGACAACAGTTTCATATCAGTCAAAATATCTAGGTAGAAAAAAACAGATTTCAAAGAAGCCAAGAGCAAACAATATAATCCTTCACTAGCAATCCAAAAGCTCCTACTTACACATCAATTATAAAATCTCTTTGCCTTTTAAGCCACGTAAGTCCACAGAGCATTGTGTGGTGTCTGACAGATATCCAAGGACCTGTTCCTGCAATAAGTTGAACCTCTCATTTCCCACTTCAGTTTTTAGCATTGCAAATATTGCAACTCCTCTTGCATGAAATTTTAACCACAGGCCTCTTGTTAGGTCAATGACTATGACTGTAATTCTACTCTGAGTCAGTGCGCAAGTTGCATATTCATTTTATAGGCCTAAAGTAGTGCTTATCGCACGAGATAGGAAGAGTCCTGTAGGGCTAGTTGCTTTCTGAGTTACCTGTTTAGCCTTGCCTTCCTTCAGCTGATATGAGGCAGTATTATTTCTAACAGACTAGGTAATTTTTACATGGGGCAGGACAGACTCATTTTGTCAGTCATAAACAGCAGCGTATGGATATCCTCATGGATATTGTTCTGCAAAGGCTTAACATTAGCAGTGACTCAGGAAGTCTCCTAGAATAGGATGAAAAATGCTGTTTTAGTATTGCTTGACCTAAAGATTTGCAACACTTCCTGCGTACTGCAACACTCCAATAGGGTGGGGATCCCATGCTATTACAAAAATAGAGAGTTAGTAAATGCAGCCCTGCTTACTCCCCCCACCCATTTGCTTTATTTGCACTCTGACACAGTGAGGATGCCTGGCTTTCTAGCATATCTGAGGCCTATGAGCTGACCTGGAAGTATTTTTGTTTGCTATTTTACCAATGTTGTTGCCCCTGTTTTGCTTTTTAGGTGAAAAGCATCCAAGTACAAAAAATCCGGTATGTCTGGAATATCTCTGTAAAACAGTTCCAGAAAGTTGGGTAAGTTCATTGAATGGGTAATGCAGTTTCTAAGGAAATCAAGATGCTTTGGGATAGACTTCCTAAGGAAAACACTCCATTTATATTGTAGAGCTCTGGAAGATCACCACACATGTTCAGCAATACATTCCAAATTCGGTTCTGGTCTCACCTGTGATGAACAGAATGTCAGGTACAATTTAAAACTTCCTGAGTGCTCAACAAATGCTTTTTAAGGGACCTGAATACCCTGCTATTTGTGTACTTTCCTTGATTTTTTTTATACCCATACACATTAGTATATGCAAAAATTTAGAAGAAATAGATGTGCATGAAGAATTGAATGCAAAGACCTAGAGAAATTATGAAGAATTATTTGGGTTTAGAACACATAGATTTAGTTGTGGAAATATATTTTTTTTCTTTTGCACTTCAAAGGAGTTTTTGTGTGACAGAACTATATGTCTAAAAGGCTATATTGTACCTCTTTTTCTAAACAGCCTTCACTGATACTGTCATTTCTGACACAAGTACCATGAGAGTCTTTTAATCATTTCTCTTTTTCTTGGGGCAGGATGCCTGAAGCCTTTAGATTAGGATCAATACGAGCTCTCAGAACAATTGAAAGATACAGTTTCTTGTGCTCCATTTTCACTGTTGGATCTCTAAGTGACATATCTTTATGCCATGCAGGAGACTGATATGTGGGCCAAACACTATTGATGTTCCAGTGATCCCTATTTGGAAACTACTCATCAAAGAGGTATTGAGCATTTCTCCTGCTTTTATGCTTGAGGCTGCTTGGGGAGGCAGAATATGCATATAGCATATGGTAAATACTATATCTAATTTAGCCTCTCCTCACCCACCAAGTACATCCTCCCTTCGTGCCTTCTTTAAAGTTGTTCTTTGAACCCACCATAAATAAATTTTATCCGTGTAGTTCCCTCTCCTCCATCCCTATGCCAAACGCTAAATACTGCTGCTCAGTGTTTGTTCATATCTGTGTCCTGAGAGCTCATTCTATTGGCCTTGCAATAGTCAGTGAATTTTTCCAAACCATGCTGGAAATGAAACCACAGGGACAAGATCTCTGTCTTAAACAGCAGACTTGAAATGAACAACATTGGCTGGCACAGGCCTTCAGGTGCAAAGAGCTCCACTGAGCTCATGACTCTGTGCACAGCACTGTGTAAAGCACCAATATGTTTTCCAGACTGGAGCTGGCTGTGTCTGGCCTAAGCAGAGTGTTTTTGAAGATAGGTGCCTGTGGTGTGCAAGCTGCACCCACACTTCACAGCTTGTACTTTTCTCAGTTCTGTCACTTATTTTAAGAAAAGGGTAAAAAAAAAAAAAAAAAAAAGAATAGGAGATTCACAACTCAGATAACATCTTTATTGGACCAATTATTTGACTCTTCTGTTGAATGGAGATGGACAGCCCGATTAGACTGAAGCCGCTGCTAACAAAAGGTAGGAGGGAAAGCCCCTGGCACTTAACTCGCGAGCTTTTATTCCAGCCCATCTCCAGCAGATTGAAGCCATTTAAATGTGACAATGCTTGAGTATTGTTCTCTCTCCAAACAGGTCTTAAATCCATTTTACGTGTTCCAGCTATTCAGTGTGTGTCTGTGGTTTGCTGAAGATTATAAGGAGTATGCCATTGCCATCATAATCATGTCTCTGCTCTCCATTGCTTTGACTATTTATGATCTTAGACAGGTGAGATACCTCAGCTTTCACTGCATTTATTTCCAATATCTGGGAAAGCCTGGGATGTTGCAACACACATGTACTGTGCTATGAAAGTTAGTCACAATTTTAGTCTCGTGACATTATGTAGTAGCAGATGCAATGGTCTGGCTTAGTGGTCATAATAATCTGTGTGGTTCTTTACCACATCCTCCCTTCCCTATTCCAGTGCTTAGCTTTGTAACCCTTTCGTTACACCTTCTCCATAATTAAGGGCAGGGAGTTTCTTTCTCTGTATAATTGCAAAGTTCCTGTCAGGGCCAGACCCCAGTTCATATGAGGGCTCTCATAAACACAACTAACAAAAAGCAGTAATTGTTAATGTATGAATTGCATCATGTAGTAAATTGTAACCCTTTTCTGTGTTCTCCTTTAATTTATAGCAATCACTTAAGCTGCACGGACTGGTTGAGTCTCATAACAACGTCACGGTCACTGTCTGCAGAAATAAAGAAGGTGACTCCTGCACACTTTTTTCTTAATATGCATTTCATTTCCCTAGCTGTTCAGTTTCCAACTGAGAATTTCTAGTATCAGATTCCTTCCACAACAATTTCCTTTTCTGCCCATCAGCCTGTTTAATTAGTTTCTGCAGATTGGGTTAATTTGACATAGAAGCATGTTGTAATGCATCAGACATATACATGAGCAAAGTCTTATCATAAAACTAGCAGGAAAAACTACGTAATTTTTCTAAAAGCAGTGCTGTCAAAGTCTACTGCATGATTAGAGATTCAATAGCTGTAACTCCAGCTAATGGGTGCATTTGAGGTCTGTTCTCTGCCATTCTATTTGGAATGCAACTGAAAAGATGGAGTCAGATTTAGAAGTGTGGATCCAAACATCTTTAGTTAAGTGAGCACCCTGGAACAATAACTATTGCTTGCACTCCTGAAGAGATAAGAAAGAATTTTGGAGTCTGAATCATGCTCAGACCTTTCTCAATATGGGAGATTGTAGTCTTAGGTCCCGTTTGCAGTCCTGTGTCTGTTTTCAGCTATTACAAAGAATTACAAGCTATTCAATTGGTAGTTTCTTTAATTTCTTTTCTCTTACTGCTTAGAAACATATGAAGCAGAAACTTTACATTATATGTCATCTACAGGTTTTAAAGAACTGGAATCATGCCTTCTTGTCCCTGGAGACATGCTGGTTTTGAAAGAGGGCAGAGCTCTTTTACCATGTGATGCCATCCTGATCAGCGGACAGTGCATTGTAAATGAGAGCATGCTGACAGGTACAGCTCTTCCCTCAGGTTTACCAGCAAAACATCACCATAGTCCTAAGCTTCAGCCAGTGCCATAGAACACATGCCATTATAATATATCATCCTTGATATATGTGTCCATAGGTAGCCCAGAAGAGGATTTTCCGGGATATTTGCTGTCACAAAGACTGAATTGCAGTTAACTCTAGCTTATCTAAATAGGCAAGATGGACTTTGAGAAGGGCTTTACTTCCTTTCTGGGATGAGGCATTTAGAAAGGGTTTCTATAACGAGAAAAGAAAGAAGATTGGACAGTAAATTACAGGACAGGAGAAGAGGGGGTACATATTGAACAAAGCTTTTCCCACAAAGGGCATACAGTCTAGTAAGTCTATGTGGGTTACAGTCACTCTGAATGTTTCCTCTCTGGCCACTGTAACTGCTCCAGCTTGTTGGAATGTCTTCCTAGCTCTTGTGGCAGTTATGCCCCCGTCTATGTGATAGCACGAAAGGAGACACCAGGACTTTAACAAAAACCAGGATTTTTAGTGCAGGAGGTTTTCATAGTTCTGTTTCTTATTTTTAAGTTTGGCCTCACTCTGAGTCAAACTTAAACCAATAGTTCTTAAATTTAATGTAAGTGAAAAATTCCAGATACCTCTTTATTACAGAAAGCCTCAGATGCTGATTGCTCAGTAAAAATATTTCTGCTTTTTTACCTGAATGTATCTGCTCTGATTGTAGGATATTTGTCATTTGTCAGACACTGAGTAACAGGCTCCTTCTTTTCCTTAGGAAGGGAAACAGGCAATGTCGTGTTTAATCTACCTAAGGGAATAAAATAGTGCCCAGCACATGAGGTTCAAACTAGGTAAACAGTTTGCTGCCATTATCTGGAGTCATGCAATATCAGTTCAGTTCTTAGGTCTGCTCATCTATAACCAGGGTTTGGAGTCCTTGGCGTGTTTTCAGTTCTTGGATGTACAAGAAGCTGCTGTCCTGATGTAAAGGAGAGCTATTATCTGGCATAGTGTGAATCTTTGCTTGTTATGCTCCAAAGTCTTATTTTATCTGAAGGCGTCACCATACAAATGTAACTTTACTCTAAAATGATTTCTCTAGTGAATCCCTATCACCTGCCATCTGTCCAGATGCTGTACTTTTTTGAAAATCGGTAGGGTAATTTTAAGGTTAAAATCTGAGGTAATCTCTCCTAGGAGAAAGTATTCCAGTAACAAAGACCCACCTACCACTAGCCGATAACATCAAGCCCTGGAGAATTCATTGTGCAGAGGATTACAAAAAACATGTCATCTTCTGTGGAACAGAGGTCATACAGACCAAGGCAGATGACAGAGGACACGTGAAAGCTGTGGTGCTGCGGACTGGTCAGTCAACAGTTCAGTTTGTTTTAATTTTCATGCCTTTTCTAGCTGGACCAGAGTTTGACTTAAAGGTCTGTTGTGCCTAGTTGCACTAAGTTAAAGGAGTTAATCCAAACTCACAACAGTTAACCTGAGAACTGATATATCAGGCTGGACAGAGCTAATATGCATTGTTCTAGTTTGCCTGGTATGATCTTTACAGAAACCACTAACATAGGATTAGGAAGAAAAACCTACCTTTTTTCTCTCATTGAAAACTCTCATCTTGCTTAAGAAAAATATAAATATGCACTGTAGTGGAAGATTTGGACCTTCTTTTTTAAGTTAAGTCACTGTGTGCAATTTCAAAGCCATCATTTTTTTCTTAGAGAACTTCTGGAAATAGTTTCACCTTAAAATGATTTTGGTTTGTCTTTCCAGGTTTCAATACAGCCAAAGGGGATCTGGTGAGATCCATTCTCTACCCTAAACCCATGAACTTCAAGCTGTACAGAGATGCTCTTCGGTTCCTGATGATCCTCATAGCATTTGCAACAGTTGGAATGATCTATGGAGTGTGTGTATTTGCACTTGGTGGGGTGAGTTACTTTCTAGAATGTGGGACACATCATCACACCAAGTTAAAAGACTTGAAACTTGAGTGGCTGTATATACATTTCTTCGAGAATAATTATATGAGACATTTATGTAAGATTACATAAATTTATGTACATTTATGTAAGATTTACATTTATGTAAGATTTATGGTCCTTTTCAGTCTTCTTCTTGCCTTAATAACTGTCTCAGTCTGTGGCACGTATCAGTGAGCACAGACTAGATAAGAAAATATGTGTGGTGAGCAGATTGGTTCCTAGAAATGGAATATCCTAAGAGCTTAGCACTTTCCAAGCAGTTTTTATAGAGTTCTAGTAAGATTTTTTTGCACATTCCAAGAAAAATTATGGATCATGGATTACATTGGACACAGATTAATGTGCTTCCAAAAGCTGTAGTTTATTATATCAAAGATCTGTCTACCCCAGTCCATTATCTTTCATTATAGCAGATGTCAGATGTGTATAGAAATAGCATAGGAAATGGGGCAAGTATAGAGCAATTCTTTCCTGGTATAGTCTTCTAGTTTTTGGGAGATAAAAGTACACTAAGATAGCTTTTTTATCTGCAACACCTAGCTTTAATAGCCACTATTGAATTGTGCCCCAGAGCTAGGCTTAATACCTTTGTGAAATCACTTACGCTTTGGCCTTGACAACACTTGTGGGGGTTACTTCCCATTTCATTAGGTACCGCATGCCAGTATTTTACTATCTGCTGCCTGGTAAATCCTCTGAAGGCACTTTAGATTTTTATTTTAGAGATTTAACAAATAACTGCTTTTTATTTGATATTTCCCTAGCATTCATGCTTTGAGACTGTTGTTCACCCATTCAGCTACCTTTCTTCCATGTTACAGAGTCTTTAGGAGTACAGTCCTGAACACAGATTCCTGAGGTTTATTGCTGTCATAAGAACTCCCCAGTTACTCCTGAACTTTGTTTCATATCTTTCTACAGTCATTTATGAGAAAATATTGCCTTCACTTAGTTATCACCCAGCTTAGAGATAACTTCCTTGAGAACTTTTGGGAAATAGCATCATCAATAGATTTTGAAAAGCCAAAGGTCCTGTATTAAGTGGGTCACATACCCATGTGACCATTGTTTTTTTTCCAGAGTTTTCAAAGACATTTATGGGATATGAATTCCCCCTGAAAAGGCTGACACTTCCCTAGTGTATCATTTAAATCAAGGGTCCATTAATTCTCTAGTATAATTTTAATCAGGTTTCTTAATGTAGAATTTAGAATTACTGTGTTAGAGATCAGCAAGGGCCAGCTGCTCCACGAGACAGGGCCAGTCATGAACCTAGAATGATCGCAGCACAGGTAGTGCCCTCACCAACCAGAATGCAATTCAACAGCATCTAAATGTGACAATCAAAACCAGGTGCTGGTAAGAGGGTCCATCAATAGCAACAAACAAGGTAACCTGATAAATCAGGTCCAGGGTCCAGTCAGGAGCAGCAGGAGATTGGGCCAGAGACAGGATCAGACAAGTGTGAGAGGGTCCTAGTAGAAAGCAATGCCAAACACCCACACTTCTACACAGCGCAGGCAAGGAATGAAGGCCCAAGCCTGAGCTTAAATGGATTTCCTGAACCCATGGTGGAAGGGGTGGATGGGGCCCCAGTGAGCCTGATGAGGGTAATTAAAGCCTATAGATTCACCTAGGGTTCTGGTACACTGGTCTTTATATCTCTGAAGATCCTCTGAAACCCTTTCAGAAAGAGTTCACACATGCTAATTTCCATTTTTCAATATGACTCAGACCAGCATAAGACATAGTTGCACATGGTAAATAGTAGGTAAGCAAAACTGGCAATCAGTTTTGCACCAACCTCTAAGCCCCTAAATTAGAGATTGTTTTTAGAAATGCGACTTTTACTTCTGTGTCTCTTCCTGAAGATAAAAGCTATTTCTTTTCACGCCTCCTAGAACATAAGGTCAGGAGGGATCATTAGCTTGCACATCTGTTTTACTTTTCAGCACAACCACATGTGTCTCATCTGTTACTCCAATATGGAGCCCGGAGTTGTGTCTATAAGCAGTTGGTTGGATGTCCATAAAAATGGCAGGCTACTGTGTGCTGCCTTATGGGGAGCTAGACTTTCCAGGAGGTACCTTAGCCTGCCTGGCATGTTTGAATTCATGTCCTTTGGAGGAGGCTGTCAGCTCAGTCATTTTAGAACGCATGAGAAGGAAGCTCTAGAGGTTATTGTATAGCGGTAGTGTAGACTCAAAGTCATTGGTTAAATCAAAATAATTAATTTCGGTCCTTTGGAGGAGGCTGTCAGCTCACTCCTTTTAGAATGCGTAAGAAGGAAGCTCTAGAGGTTATTGCATAGCGGCAGTGTAGACTCAAAGCCATTGGTTAAATCAAAATAATTAATTTCTTATGGAGATGAGTATGTGATATAGCTTGGGCAGAAAACACCTCTGGCAAAGGGGAGGAGGGATGACGTGGTCTGTACTTAAATGATTCAAGGGCCGGTGCCTGCTATCCTCTTGCTGATAACTACCCCGGTTTTCTGTCAGGAGGAGGCAGGTGAAGTAGTGAAGAAGGCCCTGGATGTTATCACTATTGCTGTCCCTCCAGCTTTGCCAGCTGCCTTGACAACAGGGATCATTTATTCCCAGAGGAGGCTGAAGAAAAAGGGCATCTTCTGCATCAGCCCGCAGCGGATCAACATGTGTGGACAGCTAAACCTCGTCTGCTTTGATAAAGTATCTGCCCTGTGTTGATTACTCTCTTATTACTGATGGGAGCAATGCTAGGGTTGAGAGAGGGTGGATTTTGGTCAGGTATTTGCCTTGTTATTTACAAACACATTGATCAGTCCTATGTGCATGAGTTTGTGCTGTCTGAACACGCAATATTCAACATTGGTGTCTTCCTTGGAGCATAAGAATTGGCTGATAGCACCTTTGCATGCTCTAAGTTGGCATTTTGTAGATGATAACTTCATAAAATGAACTTGATTTTTATTTTTATTGGAACTCTCATGTAGAAAGTTAATTTGAATGTGTATTTTAACTTAGACTGGCACCTTAACAGAAGATGGCCTGGATCTCTGGGGCTTGCTGCCCTCTGAAAGAAACTGGTAAGGCTTCTTGGCAAGCAATGGCATTAAAGTTTAGTGGGAGAATGACTATCCAGTCATTCTCTTCCTAGGTATATGAACAATATAGGGACTGCTAATTTCAAGCATCTGTTTGAATGAAATGTTTCAATTTCCAATATTTTTTGCTATGGCATTTGTGAAGAGAGTTGGTTACCTCATCCCAGATTCTGCTCCATATGAAAAGATACAGCTAATGTCAGAATTTGGCACAGCGCTCTCAGGCAGGGTAGTCGAGAGTAGACGTGCTATATCAGATCTCAGAGCTACAGCAGTGTCCCAACCCTTTTTGCCAGTCCTTGTTACCCATGAGGTTGTCATTCTTTTCCTCCAGTGCCTGTAACATTTGCCCATTTACATATCCAAGTATGCGCATGCACAAATATGCTTAATGTGTACCAGGCACACAGCTCAGAGTCCCTCCACAACCCTCCAGCAAGGTTTTAAACAGTAATCTGTTTCTCAGATTGTTCCATCCCAATGGACTTCCAAAGTACTTAAAATTTGCCTACTCAGGATATGCCTATTGCGAGCATGCAAATCCCATCCTTTGACAAGTGAGTGAGGAATAACTCATGAAGGAGGACAAGTCCCCAGAAACACGCTCATGGTCTGATCACAGGGTGGGGTTTTAATAGTCTCTAATTTTTGTATTTTTGTTTTCACTTTTAATTTTTGCTGTTAGTGAGATATTGTTTGGTGTTCTGTGATGACCCTTTTTTTTCTGGTCTCTTTGCATTAGCTTCCAGGACGTTCACAGCTTTCCTGCAGACCGCAGCCTGCCTTGGGCCCCAGTGTTGAGAGCAATGGTAGTCTGTCATTCACTAGTTGTACTGGATGGCAAAATTCAAGGAGACCCACTAGACCTGAAAATGTTTGAGGCAACTGACTGGGTAAAGTTTTGCTTTGCTTTATGCTAATTATGTGTGTTGAGGGGGAAGTTTTGGTGCTATTGCAAAGGAGAAGTGTCCCAAGTCCTCCCTTGCAAATCGCCAGTTTTCACACAGAAGTAAAACAGCATAAACCCTGGAAGGTTTTTAAGAAATGTTTCTTATTTCTGACCAAACCTTGTATCTTGGGGAAATTTGAGGATTTAAATAATTCGTCTGGATTTTTTTTTGATATTATGTAAATTCTGCTAGGGAATCAATTTCAGCTGTAGCTGCCAGATGACAGGGAATACGCTCATGTACAGATGCACACTGGTTTTACAGAGCATGTAAGAGACTGCTGCCAGCTTTGAAATGGATGCAGAACTTTCACCTTTGTTAGAGCCCTGTCATTGTGGAGATATTTCTTACAGGCACAAGATCTCAAACCTGAACATGGCACAAGGGTTTGAACAGAAGCCACATGTCCTACTGCTTGCTGTGAAGTCATATAAACAGCATCAGCACGGCAGATCGCAAAGTGCCGTATTCAGTCTTTGTCCCATTGCCTGCAAAGCACCATCAATGTTCTTATTTACTACCTGATCAAGCACAAAAAACCCCCAAAACAATAAATAAATAAATAAAAAGGGATCATTTGCAAAAACTGACAGGCTGCAAATCTGAAATAAGCATGAGAAAAACAGCTCATGATTACCTGGTGGAAGGTGTAGCCACAAGCCATTGCCACAAGACAAGAGATGAAGGGCAGTGACAGTGCACTGAAGAGCTGTCTCTTTTCTATCTGCAAAATGCATAAAAAGAGCCAAGTTTAAGGGAATAGGCTGTCCAGTAATGACAGGAGTTAAAGGATGATTTTCCCCAGGGGCACTACCATGCTATTTCAGCCTTAGGCAGCATCTGGCAAAGTCATAAATTATTTGAAACAGGATTTATCTTGTGGCCTTTGACATCATCATCATTTGTGTTCTTCACAGTCATGCTGTGAGGATTAAAAAATGCATCTGGTTCATGGAAGACTTGGAGAGTAAAGGACGGTGTTTTCTACATTAATAGAAACTTTTACTTTGTTGCCAGGGGAGACACTGTATTCTCTGTCAGTTCCTTAATGTGAGGTTAGATTAACCCTTCTCAGAAATAAAGGAAATATCTTGCTCTGGTGTAAGGAAAGGCTCTAAGTGATCCATTTATGTTCCTGTCTATTCTACTGGTGTGTGTGATTTAAAAGATTTTTGTCTTTCTATTCACAGGTGATAGATGGCTCCAGTGCATACCAGAGTGAAGGTCAAGGATCTGCACATACTACAATTGTTAGACCTGGGCCTAAAGCCAGCAGTGTAAGCAATTTGAAAGATACACATCCATGAACAAGTTAAACTGTCAGTGTGAGTGTTACCTTTCAGTAATGTAATGTTTGGTTGTTCTAATTCAAGATACTTCATGTTTGCACTACCTTCAAAGAGATCACCTCATTCTCTCTGATGGGAGAGAGAATTGAGGAGGAATTTGTTGCTCATATCAGAAATAGAGCTTAGAGCAGGGAAATGTTGCCTGGCGTAATTGTCCATATCAGAAATTCATCTCTCCTGGTGGCTCCAGGCTCAGTTCAAACTCAGGGAGTAATGGAGATGATAAAAGCAGTATGGAAACTGCAGTATGGAGTATGGCAGCTGATGACTAGTGATGTACACGGAGGGAGGGCTTTCAGATATTCCTTTTTACTTCTCAAGACCAGTGTAAGACCTGGCAGAGTCTGTTAAAGTAAAAGGATATTCACTACTGAGTTCCTTTCAGTAAAATATATCCAAAAGTCTGCTAAAACTTGCAGTGAGCTTTTCCTACTGCTTAAGCTAGACATTTCTGTCCAGTTTCATCCGCTCTTCATCCACAGTCCTTTCTATTCCACTGTGAGAAATCAACCCATATATTCAAGGACAAAAGTGAATCATATTTTGGGTAAGCCTCTCACCATGGCCCAGAGGAGAGCTCTAAAATCCTTTGGTTTGAGTTTAAAATTCTTGCCGCAGTGACTAATCCCCTTGCTTTTCTTCTAGGCACCAGTAGAAGGCATTACCATTTTGCAGCAGTTTCCATTTTCTTCAGCCTTGCAGAGAATGTCTGTCATTGCTCAGGAAATCAGTGGGGAAAAAGAAGTTTTCACAAAAGGAGCTCCAGAAACAGTAGCCAAGTTATGTAGAGCAGAAACAGGTAAATAACATTTGTAAATGTTTCCTAGAAACACATATGTCTAAGTGACTTTTAATAGAGTAATGGAATGGAAGGTCCAAAAATGTTTTCTGGGTCCAAAACACTATACCTCAGTATGACAAGTCAAAATCTCTCTATTGTGCCCCAACAAATCTAAAGATAAGCTCTTATTCAGCCCTTCTCAGCAAAGACGCCCTGCTAAGGGACAAGAGCAGATACAGAGAGTTGCACAAGATGTGCATTCTCTGCCAGAATAGATATCTGAAAAAAATGTCTAGAGGGCTGATGCACACCAAAAAAGTTTTATTTTCTCTCTAAGCCTCAGGAGAAGTGCACAGCTCTTTCATTCAAGACTTTGCACAACAGCTTAGGATCCTAAGTACAGAGGAACAGGAGAGGCAATGATTTTCTTATTGAGCAAAGCTCGGTCCAACAGTTTTCCTTAATGTCTTTGGCCTATTGTAAATGGTAGGCGTACCCTTTGCAATTCTCCTAGTTCTCCAGGACAGGAATATATCCTATTCCAAGGCTTTCAAGATTATTCCCCTTTTATTTTATCTTTTTTAGAAAGTAGACAAATGCCCTGATGCTCTTTTCTCTTTTGCACAGTCCCATTGAACTTCGAAAGCAAACTTCTGCTCTATACAGCGCAAGGCTTTAGGGTCATTGGACTGGCATATAAACCTCTACAGGCAGAGAGGCAATCTCTTGATTTAACAAGGTAAGCACTGGGTTGCTTTTTATCAGCCACATTCAGCCTCAAATAATACAGTTACCATAGCACATCTGCCAAGAGCAGAGCTGTAGGGCAGAGTTTTGGTGGAATCTAATCAAATAGAATCTCATTCAAACCTGGACATTCATCTGTCTGAGAATGGGTAGAGGGCAGTTCATTAACCCATGCTCTAAGTCCACACCTAAAATCTTGGGACATTTCTTAACAATTGATCAACATGAGGAGGATAAGTGTAGTATACCCTGAACTAGCATAACTCTAGTACACCTTCAGTCCACCACTTCTGCCACCTCTTCTTCTTGTTGATGCATCCAGGCTTTCTGCCTCTTCCTCCGTTGTTCTAGCTTCTTGATTAAGCAAAGGCAGCAGAGGACCCCATCACACCAACTGTTCTCTAGCAGGCAGCCAACTTTTCTACTACTCTCCTAGTTCTAAACAAGCCTCACTCAGCAACACTGACACACATATTCATATGCCCTTCCCAAATCTGTGTAGTTCTTGCCTGTAATACTCTCCAAACATCATTTATTAAATATTTGTGGCTACTTATGGCATCTGCTGTCCATTCTGTTCATTAGATGCAGGCCCTAGTCCAGATGGGTTTCACTTGCTTTTTCACAGGATTCTTTCTTGCTGAAAGGGCCAGTGGCACTGGCACTGAAGCAAAGTGCAAGCAGTTTTGTGACATTAAGTATCACTGACTTACCCAGTCCTGTGAGCAAATGTTTATGATACGTCTCATATTTTGCAGTTGTGTGTGCCATCATAAAATGGCACATATATTGCCATGGGAAAAAAAAAAAAAGAAAACTGAAGGTCAAACACAGTCAGTCCTGCTGTGAAAGCACTGACTGTTCAGATGCCACCTGACTTGGCTACTCTGACTGCTGTGCAGTGTTTGACATCACCTCCTTCTTTCTACAGTAGCTAAAATAAGTGCTTAAAAGCTTTTAGCTTTCAGGCCTTTCAAAGGAAACCCATTTCCCTGGAGCAACCCCAATTCTCTCTAGTATATACTTCAGTGATGGGATCATTTTCTAAATTCTATCTTCGCTTGAATTTATCAACTGTAAAAAAGGCAAAGGATAGGTATAAAGAGAATAGGAAAGAAGAGAGATCAATTTCCCACATGCTGTTTGCTCAGATATGATTGTCAGGAATAGCAAGTGTCATTTGTTAATATGGATATCTTTTCTATATGGTCCAGAAATGAAAAAGGCATGAACTTTCCAAATCAGAGCACTGCAATTCAAGAATCCAGCAGGAAATTACAGGAGCTTTTTGGCACTGACTAGTGAAAGTGCATGAATAGAAAAAAGTCCAGCTTACCAGTCAGCCTTCATGTTGGTTTGTAAAATAGATAGCTCCAAATTGACTCTTTTATTTATGTGGTGATTAAGCAAAGATGGGCTGGAAACTGATTATGTCCTAAGCTCACCCTACAGAATAAGGGAAGAACAGAATAAAAGGATGAGAAATCAAGTGAAGTTTCTCCACACACAACCAGCACCACCTGCTGCTTTTGGATACAAACCCCCACGATGTGGAAATAGCATCATAATTGTCAGGCAGCTTGGGACTACTGAGAGCTATCTCATTATCTGAATTCTTCTGAATTAGATTCAGTGTTTAATAGCTACAGCTAGCCATCAGCAAATTCAATGCAAAAACAGTCCAAAGGGACAGAAAAGAATTGGAACTGCCTCTCTGTTCTCTCTAAGGGAGGAGATGGAATCTGATCTGACATTCCTGGGCCTGCTGATAATGGAGAATCGACTGAAGAAAGAAACAAAGTCCGTCCTAGAGGAGCTCAGTGCTGCACGCATCAGGAATGTTATGGTCACAGGTATCTAAATAGTTGGGATCATTTATGTGGCCACTGGCCTAGACATGATGGAATTCAACCATCTATGATTGAACAAGCAGCCTACTGCTTCATCACCACCACTGGCAGGAACATGGAGAAATTTGTATCTCTCAGATAATTATGTTCCAACAAATATCTCTGTTATAGTAATGAAACGTGTGCATGTTTATGTCCCTAACAAATACACCAGGGTTTGTCAGATACCTAACTTTTAATCTATCCTATCACACTTTCACCACGGATCAGAGTCTTGCAGTTCCTCTGCTGCTGTCCAGTGAGTCCATTTGTTCTCCTTGATTAGGATTGACAGATGATGTGCATAAATACATATCCCACAAGCTCCCTTTTTTTGTTGGGCCTCATGATATCCTGTGGTCATAAACCAGCCCAGATAGAGCATGGGTGCCAGGATGAATTATCAGCCCCTATTTGTTCCAGGTTTTCCTTGAAGGGCTAGTTTGAATTTGAGCAGAAGAAATAGCAGAGGGAGTGTTTTCATGGTTCAAAGACATTCTTCTTTCCAGAGATTACACAGATCTTGTTTTCTTGTGTTTCACTCCCTTCAGCACCCATCTGACACCAATGCAAACTAAGTGCAATTGAGGAGTGTCAGTGATACCAGCAGCAACTTAACAGTGAATCCTTTGTAGTTCATTGAATAAAACAGAACCTTTTTCTGCTTAAGTTACAGATATTCTGTATCCAAATAAAACAGAAGCACAATATCCAGCTCAATTTCTTCAAGCTCAGGACAAATGAAATAAATATATATATTTAACTATTAAGACAGACCTCATATGCAAAGTTTTAATCTTTATCCAAAATTATAGTTTGTTATTTCTTATATACAGACACTGGAATTTGACTGGTATCTATGAGTATAAATGGAAACTCAAAAATCAGGAGAAGCCTAATGTTTTCCCCCTGAATAATTCCTCATGGATGAAATATGTGGATAACACTCCCCTTGGTTTTTGTAGGTGACAATATTCAGACAGCTATAACTGTTGCCAGAAATGCTGGGATGATTTCTCCAACCAACACAGTGGTTCTTGTGGAAGCAAACAAAACACCTAGGTCTTTTTCAGCATCTGTAACGTGGAAACTACTAGAAGAAAACAAAACTAAAGATTATGGAAGCTTGGTGAGCATAAGACAAGGGGGTGCTGTGTAACAAGAAAACCATCTAAGCTGGAATGCTTTAAATAATATTTAAAGAATAGTGGGATTATGCTAGTGTAACACAGACTAGTCATTTACCACCATCTGCACTACAGAATGTAATTTTCCAGGGAAGTGTTTAAAAAGAAAGTGATCTTTATAACGATGTGTCCCAGCAGAGCTTCCTCCTAGCATTTTATCTTCTGAACAGTATTTGTGCAAACTGCCTACGCTAACCTTGAGGATATCTTTGCAGAAACTCATAAAAGTTTGTTTCAAGCCCTTGGAATGGTCTGATGCCAGTTGCAAGAATGTTTCCCTTCACAGATGTGAAGTCAAAATCTGTGGCACTGCTCTGCCATCCCTTCTTGAGCAAGTGGAGAGTTAGTGTTTTGCCATACATGCAAAATTAAAACAGATACTGTTGAGAAATTTTATATACACAGTGAAGCATAAGCTAAGTTTGATAAGAAATTATATTAATCAAATCAAATATCTGCACAATGAACCTGAGACAAAGACCGGTTACTCTCTCTTTGAAGGGTATGTATGAAGGAGCTGAGAGATAGCAGGGTCAGGCAGATGGTAGGGAATCTGTTTCTGTTGATGGGCTGCCATTACAAGTTCCCAGTCTGAGCAGCATCTTCACCATCGTTCCCTGCAAAAAGACATGCCTAGTTATGAGGTCCATATGCTCTCTCTGGTGCCTCTAACTCACTGTGCAGCCCAAAAGGCTGACACTTTTAACAAAGGAGCTAAAACAGAGCTATGCCAAGGCGCAGTTTTAAAAGACATAGAGATAGCCAGTTCACACTGAAATTAGTGGTTTTATATGCTTAAATTCCTTTACAAATCCTGGCCTACAAAAGGGACCAGGCCTGGCACCCAGACCCTCTAGGGCCTTCACAAGCACCCTACCTATGGGATATCATTTTCTTTGTTATAGTTCGTGGAGAAATGTGCATAGCAGTCTAGGAACAGCACTCACTCTTGCCTGATTTATAGGATGATTGCAGTCAGGCAGGAAGAAGAATGAGGCTCGCAGCTGGATCAGGCCAATACCATTTTGCCATGAGTGGAAAATCGTATCAAATTGTGGCACAGCATTTCAGCCACTTACTTCCAAAGGTAAGATCTGGGTTATTTAATTTAGGCAAACTTGTCATTCAGCAGATTTGGATTTTGCTGATGTTATTAAGTGAAGACATCCAGATTTACTCAGAACTCTAATTTGTAAACAAATCTAATCTATTTAAACTCCCAAAGCTGTGGGCTGGTTTTATCTTAGGTTATCAAACTTTCCTGCTTCGCAGTCTAAAGCAACTGTTTGGAAACGTGGATTTTTGGTTGTTTCCATTCCAGATCATAGCCGAAATCATTGTGACTGTTGTAGCAAATAATTAAAAAAATTACTTCCTTCCTCTCCTTACAGCTCCTGCTGAAAAATGGAACAGTTTTTGCTAGAATGTCTCCCAGTCAAAAATCCAGCCTCGTAGAAGAGTTTCAAAAGCTGGAGTAAGTTCATATTGAACACTAGAGGTTTGAAAGTATTTGATGAATGAATATCGTAAGAGCTAGTTTTTGTGCGCCCTAAAAGTGTACAAAAACTACAACTTCTAACACAGTGTCACCCACATACTTCTAACACAGCCATTAAATTCCAAAAGCCCATTAAAGGGATGCTGAAGCTCCCATTAGTTTGGCAACACAACAAAGACCTTACATTGCCATGAGTTTGAGTTTCCTTTGCTCACATCACTCTTCTACTTCTCTTTCTGAGCCTGAAGTAGGGGCACTTGTTTGCCCAGGCACACCCAGGCACACCCAGAGTCCAGAGTCCTGGACTTGTGATGCTTCAGTCCATCTAGATTAGCTTTTAACCAAAAAAAAAAAAAAGGGTGGGGGGGGGTGTAGAGGGGCTTTGATTCCCTCCTGTTTACAGGTCTCACCTTCCCCAACACTGAATTTCAGGTCAATTTATTTTTTAGTTACTTTGTGGGCATGTGCGGAGATGGAGCCAATGACTGTGGGGTAAGTGAAATCTGTTTCCAGTGTATTTATTTTTAAAATTAATGCAATGTCAAACTGAGCACACATTGGAGATGGGAGTCCTGTGCTTATTCACAGAGCAGCTGTCCTGGCTCAGTATTGATTCAGATCTGATTCCATAGTGTGGTCCTTACCATGCAGAAGCTATTCCAGGCAGAGACAGTTATAAATTGTGGTCTCAAGTACTGAATCATTTTTCTTCACAAAAATACCCAAAGACTCTCTAAATCCTCCACTGCAATTTCTAGCAACACCTTCAATGGCTGAAGAAGGAGAAGATTGGGGTTAAGATGAATTCCCTCAAGGAACAGCTGTAGCCCTATCTTTTTATTCTGTTTTGGTACATCTTTTAAAAGCGCAAGTATATTTGTTTCCCTCAGAAGGAAGGGTCAATATTCAGAGAGGAGCCCATAACTTCCTTTGGCTTCTCTGTTCACGCCTGTGTCTTCACACATCCTTGTGTCGATGGGAGCAATGCCACCCAAGCAGAGAAGCACTCTGATTCAGGGTATATGCACCTAGGCTGTCTGTGTAAGATGTGATTACAGTGAAGCACTGACAAAGGAAGCACAGCTACACTTGTCTTCTGCAGGTGGTGTGGATGGTTTGGGGGCCTGTGGGGAATGGACTTTGCTCATGCTGCCATCCCCTTGTTGCTTCTGTACATCTGCTGCAACCTTATGTCACCAGAGGAAACTTAGGGGTGGAGCACAACCAGAGAATGAGGAGGGACTGCTGTTCACAAAAAGTATCCTGTTGTAAGGGGTTTGGTTCTAGTTTCGCATACCAGTCACTGTGTCTTCCTTGCTTGTGAGTACTGAAGAAGAATGTGCCTTTCAGGCTTTGAAAATGGCACATGCAGGGATATCACTGTCAGAGCAGGAGGCATCTGTAGCTTCACCTTTCACATCACGAACTCCCAGCATAGCATGTGTGCCAGAGCTAATCAGGTAAGTGTGGATTCTTGTGCCCTGTTATGTCAAGGAGACACTCATGACTCCTCTCTGATGTTAGTGTTCCCACCAGGCCAGGCTGTACATACAGAGGGAAAAATAAAATTGTTTGACCTTGAAATTGCCTTGGAAGTGTTCCTCTCTAAACTTCCTTTAAGAAAAATCTTTGGGTTTTTTTGTTTGTTTTTCCTCAAAACTACAGGAGGACAACTGCAGCTGAGCATGACATTATTGTCAATATTTTAAGTTCAAAAGATATAGCAAAATAAGCACTGCTCTATAAGTTGAATTCAGTCCACAATAGCACCCTGTGCACTATTATTAGGCACAACATTTGATATACTATGCAAACACAAAATAGATTTGAATTGGTTGAGTCATTTTCTTAGCTAAGTTTTGCAAGAGGTTACCTGTTCTTTCCTCAGTAAAACATAGGGGATCGAGACCATGCCAAACTTGAAGACTTCATGCAATGAATATCAGGAATCACATGAAGTTAGTATTTAAAACTAAAAGTTTCATTAAATACAGCTTTAGCACTAGATCTTTTGGCTACTTTAGCATTGTGCCCCTCTAGAACTTCTCCAAACACTGCTCAAAGGGGCAATGCTTCTGGCTAATACTGTGAGCCAGGGTGAAGCTGGGAACAGATTCAGTAACTAACATTCATGCTCTAATCACTGAGCATGCTATCTTCCAAAGGGTCTGTAACAGTGAATAGGGCTACTCCTTATTCTGGTAGGTTTTCCTGTAAATTCCACAACGTATTTGATGGTGGTGTGAAGAAGGCCAAGGTCCTCATTTTGCTTAACGGGCAGATGATACTAGAGAGCATTTGGAAAGAATCTGTTTCCCCATACAGTCAGATAACATAGTATCTGACCGTAGAGGACGTGTCAGTTGAAATGTGAGAGCAGCTGTGGGTGTTTTCCTAGAATTTTTTACTTGCATTATTAAT